GCCGCTTTGTTACGTCCATCTACTTCATGGGGGTGGAGCAGTGGGTAGCGTGGGTTCCGATGCCACTGCTTTTGGTTGTCGGAACTGGGATTACGCCTGCATCATAACAGGTGTGTGGTCTCGCAACCATGATGGAAGTGATGTCGCTCGAGATGCCGTGGGGTGGGTATACCGCGTCGTGGAAAACTTGTTACCTTTGAGTCATGGAGTTTATGGTGCAGACCTAGGACCGGACCCCAGAGACACGAAATTATCTGTGATGGCATTTGGATCAAATCGGCAGCAATTAGCGCGCCTCAAGCAAACCGTTGATCCGTTCAGGGTGCTGGCATATACTTGTCCATTACCAAAAGAACCGGCAGCGCAGCGGCTCATCATCCTCGTCACTGGTGAAAGCGGTGCTGGGAAAGATTATTGCGCAGACGTCTGGGTTTCTGTCCTGAGAACGATGACTCCAAACCACATAACGGCAACATCAATCAGCATCAGCGATATGACCAAGCGCGAATATGCGGCAGCTACTGGCGCCAGATTGGACCTCCTGCTACGAGACCGTGATTACAAGGAGCGTCATCGACCCTTGTTGACAGACTTCTACCAGAACCAGGTCCGGGAGAGACCACAGCTTCCCGAGGAGCATTTCCTGAACGTGGTACACAATGCCGCACATGCTGACGTGCTACTGATTACGGGTTTAAGAGATGACACCCCGGTTGCAACATTGTCGCATCTGGTGCCCGCCACTAGGGTGATTGAAGTTAGTGTCAGAGCTTCAGATCAAATCAAGAAGGCTCGTCGAGGCTCCAACGCCACCGATAATGGCAGTTGTAGCAAAGCTGTCACGGGTCAAAACAAGGGATTCTCAGGCCGAATGTCAAGCCATCAACCCACCTTTCAATTCAATAATGACGAGATCGGAGACCAAGGAGCAAGAAACTTTGCGGAAACTTACCTACTCCCGTTCTTCAGCGAAGATCTTCATCGACTCGCCCAATTGGTGGCTCTGGTGCCCGACTTCCCGCGGCCGAGCGTTGAGTTCCGCCACATCCTCAATATCTGCCAACAACCTGGTGGACTGGAACTATGCACATCGTTATTGCAATCTCAGTTCATAGGCGATTGGACCGGTGTCGATATTATAGTGTGTTGCGAAGCTGGCGGGTTTGTCTTTGCCTCCGCACTCGCCTTGCGGGTTGGTGCATCTTTGGCCTTCATCCGGGAAGCAGGCAAGCTGCCGCCGCCAACCATTTCTGTCTCCAGGTCCGCGTCGCATATATCTTCCTCTCTGTCCGTGTCTGAATTCAAAGGGAAAAAAATCGAGATAGGCCTAGATACAATCCCCACAGGGGCATCGGTTGTGGTTGTTGACGACGTACTTGCTACGGGAAACACGATGTCCGCAGTCCTGCAACTTCTTGACAAGACCAATGCATGTGTTGATGTCAAAGTTCTCGTGGTGGCCGAATTTCCTTTTCATTGTGGACGGAATTTGTTGAAGCAGAGTGGATATGGCGGAGTTCATGTGCAAAGTCTTCTGGTTTTTGATGGGGTATAGGTGACGAGAAGCGAGAAGACCTTGAGTAGACGAAATTTTCAGTAGTGAAATTCTTCGATCTCATTTCGCCGAGCAGGCTAACACCGCCCATGCAGTACACTTTTCGGATGGGGCTCTAAAATATTTTGGTTACCCTACACTCTTTGAATATCAGACTGGTATCTGCGATCTTTCAATCTTTCAATTCATTATTTCTTTCTTGTGATACGATATGGTGATAGGAGCGCTTTCAAGTCCGGACAACCATCGTGCAAGCTGCGTTTGCTAATACTTAGATAGCCCACAATTTGCAGACTCCGTGTTCACTGGCATGAAGACTGGCTTCACTTCTTTGGTAGTCTAAGTAGAGAGTTGAGCAGTGAATTTCATTAAGCGAGGCCACTTTCATAATTACGAGGAACATTCGATATTTCGTCTGCCTGAGACTGGTACGAAAGACCTCACCCGGCCTCCGGCACTTTTAACTGATGGACCGCTCCTTTCCATAAAAGACGCTCTTTGTATTTACATATCGAACAGTTTGACTACTTCAATTTCCAGGACAAGGCGCGTCAATGTCTCCGGCTTGGACGTTGATCAGTCAACCTCTCACCCCGGAATGAATGACTGGTAAGGAGACCACGCCCTTCAAGCAAGCATTATCCATTTCGGTTAGTCTGTTCGAGATCAAATCCGACTGCCCCGACATTTGATTCCCTGCAACAAATAGTCCGATCGCCGAGGGTCCAATTGTCCACCTTGTGTCTATGTGAAGCAGCGCTGCGGCTCCTACGCCCCGAAATATCGCTGCATTTTCTGTGCAATCTGGTTTTTGCTGGTCTGTGAATACCTGCAACTTGCGACCCAAAGTCTAGCAACACATGCTGGCACAGATACATGAATCTGGGAGAAATCAATAATAAGCGATTCGCTATTCACACAAAATACTGATTGTAAATATGTGAAGCATCTATGATAACTAACGTGAAGTAATGGTTGAGTCGATGTCAACTGAATGAATCACTTCTAGGCAACTTAAGGGGTTATCATAATCCCGCCCCCCTCCCGCTCTTGGCGAATATCAAATTTTGCGGAGTCTGCCCTCCTCGTTATTAGGCCAGAAATAGCTTTAGGAGTAATTGGTTAAATTTTTCCTGTGGGTTCTTCTCTCGCAAAGGGTTGTCTAGCTTCAGCATAATTTTCCATGGGTTCATGGTGTGTGTAACTTTCTATGGGTTTTTATGAAGGCATTGTATAAAAGAGGCGTCTTTGCTGAATGAGGAGGCACTTAGAACCAATACAAGGCGTTGGGTTGATGCAGCTTCTGCTTTGATTGTGCATCCCATCTTGTAAAGCCCAAACTGAGGTGCAAGCGCAATCGCAAACCCAAAAACACCGCAGACGCGCCCTCGATAGACGATACCGACACCTACGGGGCTCCCGCAAAGGGATGCTGCCGCAAAATTTGTGACTGGTGTGATCATTACTGGCAGGTGATGTCCAATTCATTTTCTGCGCATGATGAGCTTCTGATTCGTGAAGGTGCATGTAGTATGGGTGCTGTGGGCACACAATACACGAAACACGCATGTCAATATCAATACGGAGTTTACTCATGTCGTAATACATTGATATCCAGAAAGAAGTACCTTTATTTTTCTCAGCTGATCATTAACTGAATTCAATCGAGGAAAAAACCTCTCCCCAGCGAAAAGTTAGTGTCACCACTCCTCGGCGTCCCGGGCCAAAAACGGCGGTTGAGATGGAGACCTCTCCCAATAGTCTCATATTCCTACAAAGCCATGGCCTTTAAGCATGCAGGAAGTGTGGCTCTGCAGTTCCGTAACTGGTCCAAGCTTGATTGAGGCATTCATGCATCCTAAATCCTTTCGTACCTCTGCGGTTTGCATATACGACTACTCTAGCTATCTGACCAATAGAACCCTCTACAGTGGCGCGTGGCGTCGCAGAACACGTTGCAGGTGCAGGAAATTAGCAAGCATTCGTCGGCTCGTTGCCTGGATGATGCACCTTGGTTGTAGGTAAAGGCGAGGCCGTTCACTTCAACAGGGCTCCGAAACTTTTCCGTATTGAAAAGAGGCAGCTGGGCGCTGCAGCCTTACTTTTGAACACGTCTCACACGACTGCAGAACACACGGGCTTGTCTGTGGTGGTGATTAGCCCTAGGTGGGTTTATTCGTGGCTTAAGTAGCTGCCATTAAAAATAATCTATTGGATATACTGATATGTGTCGTGCCGCCATATGATTGATCGGTTGGGCCATTGCTTGATCTGAAAAGATCCGCTGTCTGGACGTGTCCGCCTGGATAAGTGCAATAGCCGATGAATACCGCACTCTGTCGGCCTTTCCTAACGTTGCCCAATACATAAGCTCCGTTGAAAAAATCACCGCACTCAGTGGCGAGACCTGATAACCGATTCTAGCCGGTAGCAATGAGCGCTGTATATACTGTGTACTCGTTTAATTCTCCACTAGGACCGATTCTACTGTTGCTTTTCTTTATTTCCATACTGGCTACAGCGCATCTGGTTCAAAGTGACGAAACATCCACACAGTTAATCGCGCAGCAGTGAGACTTTCGCGGCGCAACAATAGATTGCTTGTCAGCTTGTACGTGGTAGAGCTCTCTGCAAAAAAATGCAGCCTTGTTCCACTTGAATTTCTGGTTTATTTTGCAGGCAGTAACTCAGTCGTATTGTCTCAGGATGACCGTAGACTCGTTCACCGCTGCAGCTTGCGCAGTGTTATCTGTCGCTTGTGCCGTTCCAGGCCTAGAACGGCCTGAGTAAAATAGTACGCAAGCAAAAAGTTTAATCCTTAAGCCTATGTTCCCAAGAGTAGTGGTGAGCACAACGGCATAGCGACAGGCCTGCTAATAACGTCATTCTCACTCCGGAAACCTGGCTAAAGCTGGACACCCAAAAACCCAATAGCTACTTGTGTGCCCCTCAACTCTCCATGAAAGAGACTCTAGGATTTCTATATCTCACTGGCAAAACAAGGTGGTGTGACTATTAGCTCCCCCTAAGGCTCCATCTGTCGCCACCATTTAGCCGCGATAATTCCAATTGCAGCCAGCTATAAGATTACGAAATCCGATAGCGCCATAAATGAGTGCTGATTTTGAGAGCACTGAAAGCCCGGGGCTCTACGTCTCCTATTCAGATTCTATATATTAAATTGTTTCATAAATCTACTGTGTACCCAGCATCTCGCATGGCGGTCTCCTACATGGCGGCCCTCCTACATGGCGGCCTCCTGCATGGCGGCCTCCTGCATGGAGGCCTTATTGTTGTTGGCCGATCATTCACTTGGAATCTTCGCATCGTCCTTTGGTTCAGTGCAAAAATTGTCACTGTTCCGTATAAACTGGCCATTTGTCCTCTCTAGTTTTGATTACAGACTCAAGTCGTCTATTCACCGGAACATACTTAAAACAAGAATATGGGTTCCGCGGCACTAAGCGGAGATCTGGATATCAATCCAGAACGTGTCGGTCGTCCAAGACTTGACCCTTACGAGAGGCTTCTTAGTCGATTTTACGAGCAGTTGTTTCTTTTGAATGCACTTGGACAGACCCGGGGCAACCACACATTTCCACCATTTGAGCTTGATGACCGTCGCGCTAAAGCCCGTCGATTTCTTCAAAACCTTTGTTATATATGCGACTTCAAAAAAGGAGGCAGCGCATGCACTTCCGTCGGCCTCGAGGAGCTCGATACGTGCTACAATTTCTGTGTCGCTACCAACGGGGAGACTGGCAAAATCGCCGAATTTCTCACAACCGCCCTTAGCAGTCTGGAAGATATAGCCCACCCGACTGGCACAAATCAAGATTACAAGAATTCGAGGTTCTTACACCTGTGCATTGAGTTCGCTGCTAAACGCATCGAAGGGGAAAAAAAATGTCTTCGCAGAGGGGTAAAGGATTGTCTATCTAGGCTGAAAGGACAAACTTTGGGATCCGGTGCGTTCAGCCTTTCTTTCCTTTATCTTGAGGGACCCTCTCATAAGTCATTGATCTAATTACAGATTCAGAGTTCGTTGAGTGGCTGGATATGGTCGTGAGCTTCGATAATCATTTCCAGCTCTGCGAATTCGCGTATAACACTCGCCATTCAGATCAGGTCAGGGAGCTCTATGACCGGGCCATGGAAGAAGAGGCACGGCGGGCCCCTTCAGAGAAACGCTCGTCGTTTTTCTTAGTGCGACATTATGTAGGCCGACTTGCTCATCATATACGGGCTCCAAAACAGCTGATTGATGACACGGAGGACCTAAACTTCCTTGGTAATCATACAGTTTATGCTATTGGCGCGCCATCTGCCGTACCTCCGACTATCCGCGATTCACAGGTCAATCTTCGAGGCATTCTGAACCGAATGTTTAGGAAAGGCGATGAAGAAAGACCACAGGTCGAAGGCGGTCTCCTCCACTTGAACAAGGTGGCTGGGGTCTTCGGAAAGTTTCTGCATGAATATGAACATTCCTCACCTGAAGTTCATGCCGAGGTCCAGGTGTTGGAGCACTTCCACAAGATGCAGAAGTCATTTGCGGGCGAGGACCGTTTCATCGCTTGTAGTAAGCCAGCATGCTTATGCTGCGAAATGTACTTCAAGTATCATCCGGCCCATGTGACGGTATCTTGTTCTCATCGCAAGATTTGGCCGAACTGGAGTCCTCCACATTTGAATCATTTTGACAGCCAAAACCCCGCCACCAGGCAACAAAGGGACATACTGAACAAGATGACCGGAGACCTGCGCGGCCAAGTAATTGCCCATGTTCTACAACGCTCACCGTCGAATCCCTGGCATCCTGACTCAATAACAAACATCACGAATGTCCGATACTCCGACAATTTTTCCGTCTCGTTCGAGGTATCAAACGCAACGACTACAAAACTCTTTCCAGTTGTTTTGTTATCAACTCATCCGAACGGATTCAACAGCCCGCCCGAGACAGCAATCCCCCACATCTTGGAAGGAGAAGCGGATTTTGATGACGTTTCTGATGAAGAAAAGGGCGGGGTCTCTATTTTCGATTGTACTCCAGCAACTCTAGATACGCTCGGGAATTTATTCTAAGCATCCTGACAATGTGTATCTTAAACCAGGAGCGAAATTCTGAAGCAAAAATGAACCTTAATTCACCATATTTTGATCTTAAATACTATCATATGTGGCGGATATTAATTCACATAATCCGTTAAGTAAGCAATGATAACTGTCTACCGATTGTCAGCAGCGTGTCTCCACAGGCGCTTTGCTAGTGGCTCGTCATCCTCAAACGCGAAATCTGAGATCTAACACCACATCGATATGCAAAATGACCAGAGATAGTACGTTTGAGCTGTGTGACCAAGAATTTCTAGGAGGCGTCTCGGTCAGTGTTGCGCACAAATTATCATTGTGAAAGAATTCTCTGGGCGAGAGGAATTAAAGACGCCAAGGCGGCAGCGATGAAAGCCTCCATTCTAGCTTAGCGATCAGATAGGATAGTGACTCAGGATACAGTAGTGATTCAGGTACAGAATAAGAACTCGGATACATAGAGAGAAAGCATGAGATTATCTCCCATTTAGTCTATTACCACGCTAAGTTGGATACTCCGTAATCGCGTTACCTGATACGAGTATCGTTTTACCTCTGGCCTCCCACATAGTGGCCTCTCGCATAGTGGCCTCCCGCAAAGTGGCCTCCCGCATAGTGGGCCTCCCGCATAGTGGGCCTCCCGCGTGGTGGGCCTTCTGCATGATTTTGATGGTGTACCGAACGTCACTTATCTTGAGATCAAATACATAGCTGCTATGAGCCCAGTTCAACATGCTAGCCAGGTAAACATACATTTATATCCCAGATACGAAAGTTCGTTCTTGTCTTCGTAATCTGTCAAAGACAAAAAGCACTCAAAGACCGATCATGCTGACTATTTTCATACCTCAAGAACGAAGCTACCAAACCAACATACGTACATTCGAACAAAGCGAGTAAGATTTAAGGGAATGAAGCACGAGAAGGGAGAGATAGCGAGAGAGCTATCTGGCATATAGGTGAACAAATGTAGATTGATGCCTGAGACAGACATCAATATCGGGCATTAACATATGACCAAAAATCACTGTTCATGTCAACCGGAAGAAGTTTGTCTGCCTGGTATATCATTATGCACTGAAATCCGGTTCCGCCAATGACTGCTCCGTAAAGTCTTCAACAACTCTAAGCTGAGTTAAGAAACTCCAATCTATTTCAAAACTTATGTGTGCTGTGCATATCTCCAAAATTCTCTTTCCTATTGCGAAACCTAATAATTTCCGTCTTCACCTTAAACAATCGCACCGCAAACATGAACAAATTTCATCACCTATAGATTGATCCACGCAAAGATCACGCCCTTAGCCCCAACAAAAAACGAACAAGGTGTGAAGGAAGAATGTGAAAATGAAAGAGGTACATAGCATGTCGGATGTTTTCAAGTAATTTTGGGTGTCTCATCTAACGGCTGTGTTGTGCTTTGTAGTGTTTTTGAAAGTTGTCTTTACGTGTGAATTCTGTCTGACAAATGGGACAGACAGAGCGCTGTTCAGGCCCACAGAGTGCCTCAGCAAGAGCCCTGTGAGCAACCTTAACATGCCGAAAAACGCCTTTTTTATCAGCTGCAGCGTATGAGCACCGAGAACACTTGACAGGCCGGATATGTGTCAGTATATGTTTCCTGAGCCTTATTAGATGATGGATCAGCTAACGAGGATGTGAAACATACCTTAGCTGACATTCAAGGGCATAGCCCTTTACTTGTTTACATCCCTCATATTGACAGTAATACATTCCATCTGAGAATCTGGCGAGTGCTTCAGCTGAAGGCATCTCAGCTTCTTCAGATTTCCAGCCGTCCGTTGTCACCGCACCGTAACCTATGGACCCAGAACTCTTATTATAAACCACAGCACTAGGCTCAGTGGCGAGATTCGTAATGCCGAACCCCCTTTTTTCACCGAACACCCCGCCTTCGCTTGCAAGGAGATCGTCGCATGTGGCACTCTACAGAGGCACATTCGCGTCAATTATCTCCTGAAGAGAAGCAGACGGGGTCATCATCAGAGCAAGGTGCGCAGGCTCCCCTGGGAATCCTTGATTTTCACTGGCGGTGTATGCAACACGGGTCTCGTGAGTCGTAGGAATTGTATCGGTCAGATGATATCTGACGGACCCCTCCTTTGGCTCGGATGCAGGTTCAAGGGTGTTTTGAAAATGAGCTACGTTAGTCCAGGACCCACAGAGGCCCGGTGACCACGATTCCATCATCAACTCCCTCCACAGGCGTGGACCAAATGGCCAGAGAGAACTTCGACTTCGCGATCCAAAACCAAGTATTTATAGCATATGTAAGTGAAAGACCCACCCCTCTACCATTATTTTACGATACAGAAGGCAACTCGGCATGGAATAAATATCGTACCGCCCCAGATTCAATTTGCACCTTCAGGCTAGATTAGGTAGCCATGCAGGTATCCAATTTGGCTCAGCCACGACAGACTCTTTCGATTGTCCTCCAGTCGGCCTCTAGCTCACATAAATGCACGCGCATGCACTAAAGCGTCTTTAGTATTTGAATGCGGAAAAGGAATACGCAAATTCTGCTAAGAGTTCAATGGCTTCCAATACTGAGTTCTAATTCGACCACGTCGCAGCAGCTGAAAATCATTTCCATGCGCAATGATCAGGCAACAATCGAGTGAAATTTTGTAAGGGGCCGATTAGCACGGAAGCCAAGTAAACCATACTCTGGATAAAATTGGGGGATAGCTGTTGGCGTCCGCACCAACCATCGATCGGGGAGCGCCCGAGCGCCGTGAGTGCACACAATAACGCGCATTCGTATTCCGTAGACCGATTTCCGTAGCTTAATGCATCAAGACACGCCGCTCGGACGGGGGTCCACGAATCCACCATGAGATCGCTAGTCCCCTCCGCAGAACCCCTCATGGCCTCATCGGGATCGCTAGGGCGCTTACCAACTGCGCGATGGGCATCACCAACGTGTGAGACATTTTACACAGTGTTCCAATACAATATGCGAATCGATGCAGCTCTCCCGTTATTATTTTCACAAAGTTCTGTGCTGCTGGAGTACGCGATTACGAACTAAATTCTTCAGCCAAGACGGCAAACCGGTTTATTGGCCCGGCGGGCACACATCTATTGCCTGGTTTTTCATAGAACATAATCGGACGGATTAGTGCGCGACCTCTAGTCAATCACCACGATGTGTATGGCAAGTTCGTTCAATAGCTGAATGGATTTTTGGGTTTCCAGAAAAGGCTCAAATTCACATTCCTGGCAATCCAAGTTGATAATTGGTAGTAAGTGTTATAAGAGTGATAGGTTCTTATTTAACTCTTTGCAAATCCCTTTTGCAGCTAGATGTGCTGCTTCTTTCTTTGTCCTAGCTTGGCCAGCACAGGTCATATCTCCGTATTCAACAGTTATCTTGAAGAAAGGGGGGTCATATGAGACAGTTTCTTCTTTGATTCGCCGAAATGTTTTCCCCTCTTTCTGAGCCAACTCATTCAGTCTGGACGTATAAAGATGGAGGTCGCCGTTCTGACCGGCCTTTTCTTTACGTTGCGTTTGACTCAAATTGCGAGAAGCTGACGGTGGCTCCAGTGAACATATTTCTTGGCTATTATGATAAGTCTTTTCCGAGGCGGGACATGTACAGAGATCGGCGAGACCCCACAGAAGAGTAGATCGTTCTGAATCAGAGCAGCGACGGTAGATCTGCCCTAATAACAGGATTGTATCATCTCGATCATTGCTCTTTTCAAGATTTCGCTCGTTCGAGCCATGAATATTCCCAAATGAGGCCATCATCCAATTCCAGTTGAATGTCTGGAAATCATGATTCACAAGATTCTGCGTACGCGTGAGTTCGAAAACAGCGAGAAGCGTGGAAAGGCGAACTCACTTCGACCTGATCACGCGACATTCCAATTTTCGCGATGGATGAAGTGACCCACAAGCGATGTAAAAGTTGCCCAAGAAGATAGTCTGTATAGGGTGTCAGCTTTGAATTGATACGAAGGGGAAAACGTTACTGCAGTACCATCAGGTCCGGCTAATTGCCTCTCATCTTGTGGATTGGCCATGCTGATGCTCCCAGGCAAAATGTGAGCAGTTTCAAGTCGATGATAACGAAGAGTGGTGAAGATGTAATCTGGGTGACCTCCCCCATCGACCTTTTTAAACTCCATTCTAAAATGAAAAAAGGAAATGGGAGGGAAAATTCGCATTCATTGTCAGATGCACGGAAGCCCGACTTATGCAAAATATATCGCTTGTACTCTGCCAAGGACAAAAGAGGCCCATAATACGACTGTGTATCTTGTCAGATGGTGACGTGTCATCTCTCGGCTATGCCATTTTTGTAAGAGCCTTCTCAGAAGCGCCATAGGTGATCTTACACGTGGCAATGCTCTAATTATGTCTATGAAAAACACAGTCCGTATAGAGAAAGGTATTATGTACACCTCATTTGACTTTGCATCAATTTTCTTTAGTATAACTAGTATCAATGTTGACAACACAGTGAACGAGAAAATTTGGAGTGATCTCAATTTGTCTTTCTTAGTTATACCGATTTGCAATACCACTGTGAAGACCTCGAGCCAATTCCCAGAGACTCTGGCCAAGATATACATGAATCGATAAAAGATACAAGTTCAATTTCTTTTATTTGAGAAGGTATTCATCTAGTCTGAGGCAAGAAATCCTTAATAGAAAGATCGTAAAAAAACAATACATTTGCCCTTGAGACAACTTTCAAGAGGGACTTAGATGATAGTCTTGGTTATTAGGCGACAGGGGAAACGGGATTTTATTTTCCATTTAGTGAGGTTTGTTATCTAAGGTTATTTCCTCAGTACGGCGAAAATTGACTTGAAACTTGTCTTGGCAAATCCAGCTTTACGCGACTGATGTGCTTGCTATTGAAAATGGGGTTGCTGAAATCGTGAGAAGATTAAGTATGTAGTGATCCCGCTAACGATTACAGAACCTTACGAACATACAGGATGTATGCAGTCATGAGCAAATGCATTAACACGTCGATTGGCATCTGGACTGGTGATTGTTCTACCCGTCATTGATTTTTGATAGGTCAAAATCTGGATCGGTGGCTTGAAGAATTGTTTGTTCAAGTCCAAATTTGTTGGCCCAGTGCCAGAGTTGCACAGAGGGAGAAGATAGCTCATCATTTGGCGGCAAGGGCAATTTGTCAGGAGTTGAAATTCAGTAATCACGTGGGCAATTCAACATTGTGACCGTTGATGAGAGCTGGCAATATGCGAATTTTATATCCAGGTGACCACCAAAATGACCAACAGCTCCAGACACAATTTTCGCTCCGAGTTGTCGTCTGCTGCTTCAAGATTGCTCTACGCCTCGAACTATACTCACACTTCACTCAATAAAGGAACTTAAAGATTTTTTCCCCTTTTTGCGCAGGAATACATATGGAAATAATGCTCGATAGACTTGCTACCTGTCTCGCGTACTGTAACTGGCATCAAGAGATTGAAAAATCTAACAAGAATTCCTTGACTTTAGAATACGTATTTCAGTATTTAATCACCCTGGAAAGAATCACACTGAATGACATTCAGTATTTCGTATGAATTTAGTGGGGAAATATGTGTTTACCACTGCCGCCCAGCAACCCATCTTCTTCCTATGAAACATATTACCTGGATTTACTCCGTTCTGACTAATTTCAACAGAAATCTCATGATAGGGGCATTGCTGTTTTCAAAATATTTGAAAATAACAGTAGAACAACGCGTAAGTTGTAGTTAAAGGGCTTAGCGATGTTAGCATTGTTTGCACTTTAGCATACTTCAGGAACCCTGAGCGTAGGCGTTGATGTATAGACAGAACCCAAAGCCGGCCAACGCGCATAATCTCTCATCGCTCTTACCGTTTACTAGTTTTTTTGAAATTTCGGGGAAGCGCCAAGATTATACTACTATGTAGATATTGGAACGGGTAACAACTCGCGTAGGACTTGCCATCCTCTCATAACTCAAGGCCAAAGACAAAAAAAATATTTTCATATATTTATATGCTATTATTAAAGCAGACAAAGATTGTGATACTTTTGCTGTCCATTTAAGCATTAGAAAGAAAGATAATGGCCGCATCTGCAGCCATCACAATAGCCTGGCTCTTGGTGGAACAGTTTTCGACTGACGCAATCCTCTCACTTCTCAGCCATACAGAAGCTCTGTGAAGCCCATTGTCCATTTCTTGGGACTGAAGATCCGGGGTTTGCGTTCCAGACATCCGATGCAGTGTGCTGATCGGGTGTTCGAGGTGTTTCTCTTGCCCCACGAAGCGCTCCAGATAGTCTAACAAACCAAGCCTTTCTAGAAAGCGTTCGCATGTATCCAAGCACTCTCCACTGTCAACAAATATTGCGCCGATTGTACTCTCGACAAGATCTGAGTAGAACTTGGATGGCCCCAACTGAGCGAGCATCGCCCAAGGATACGGGACATGATTCACCAAGTTTCTTTTGATCTTGTCGCCCAGTAATTGATACCGCGTGTTGCATAAAGCCTGGATCTTGATAAGGTCTGGGGCATCATGGCGCATGAAAGTCCATAAGGAAATGACTTTCGTTTGGGTCGTCAGTTCGGACAGGTCCGACCTTGAAGTTGAGCTGTGACAACATGGCTCGAGCAAGGTGAGTTCCATACAAAGGAAAGCCAAGAAGTCTGCGTTTACCAGGGCTGCACGCAATTCCGACATTCGGCCTTCGGCCAGCTTTGGACACCGCTTATAAAGATTTTTGGAGACCAGAAAATCAAGAACCGCGTCTCCCAGAAATTCGAGCCGCTGATAGGATCCGGTTGAGCTGTCTCTTTGCCATGATGGGTGCGTGAGTGCTTCCCAGATTAGAGCCCGGTTCTTGAACTTGAATGCCAGCAACAGATCAATCTTCTGATTCAAGTGAGCTGAGAACGCATCATAGTCCTTTTGCGCGCTCTGAGGTGCGCTTGAGATGTCCGCAATTTCCGGGATAAAAATGCCAAGAAGCTGTTGGGAAAGCGTAATCCCACCACATTCGTAGGCAGCCGCCGTCAGGGCTTCGAGGACATCAGCAAAAGCTTTTCTGGGAAGTGTCCTATTCTGGGTTTGATCTTGATCCATGATCGGTGAAAAGATGGGGTGTTTCCACGTGACGAAATCCGCGCAGATAAACCTTTCGAGATGAGCATGGACGGCTGCCCGCGTCAATCTCTCATTCGAGACCAGCAGGTCCTTGAACTTTGACAGATAACCTTCGTGCCACAGAGGATACTTATAGAACACATGCATAACAACCACAAGCTTGAGGATAGAGTCACCGAAGAACTCTAGCTGCTGATAATTAATTGGCCATTGAGAAGCAGGCGTCGTGATAGCCTCCATAAGTAAGCTGGAATTGATCATAGGAAGATCGTTGAAGATCTTGATCCGTAAGTCATGTGCCATCAGGTATTGATGCAGAAGCTGAATAATATGTGGAATTGCGAGGCTAGCCAAACTCAGCTCCCAAGGAAGGAAGTCAATGATGCAATCTGTGGCAGCTACACACGCCGTTTTGGGGCCGCCTGACTCAAATGACAGTCCGCTGGATGACGAAGCTTGCCAGAGCAGGTTTTTTCTTCTCCTAAATTTTTGGCATATAATGGAGAGCTCTTTTGTGGCCGGGTCCCGAACCCATCGCACGAAAGTATGGGGAGCAAAGTGAAGGCTGGGACTGCGGATCAATCCGGAGGGAAAGAGTATCGGGATTTTAGTTTGTCCAGTACGTATAACAAACGATCCATGATTGACAAGCAGCCACTCCTCTAGCTCTTGCATGGGAAGATCTGGAGTAAAAAATGGGAGGAACTCTGGGTAGTGGCCTTGTAGAGGACGTACGCGTGTTGATTTGATAAATAGAGTCGTTATCTTCTTTAGCAGGACCCTTGTGGATGGGGTAAGTGCCATTTCGATGTTCAGAGGCTGCAAAATTGTAGTGAAGGTTGTCTTGGCGTCCAAGTAAAGATTCAAATCCGCAGTCAGGGGGAGCTTGACAGGCGTAAAGAGCGCCATTGATAATTCCGGCCGGTTTTCCCCATTCTCGACAAAGTCAATGCGGCATTTGTACATGGTTCTTTCCATCCAGGGTCCAGGGATTTCCTTCCAAAACTTGTGTAAATTCGAACATGTGGGTAGCTGTGAGAGAACTTCACTGTCATAAACCGCTTCCACACCCGCATTATCGGAGAACAATGGCAGGAGATGGTCGTTGATGAGACCCTGTCTGTGCAAGGCCACGACCGCTTGAAATGCGGCATCCTGACGGGCTGCCCGCTCGGTTTTCCACCAGTGGTGACCTTTCACAACTCTCAAAGAACGGTCTATACCACTTGGCATGTAAACCGTTGACCGAGTAAGTTCTGATACGTTTTTCTCGTAAGAGAATGCTGGATGATTTTCGCCAGGTCTTCCACTCCGTAAAGTTGTGCAAAAATGATACAGGTGAGGTATGGCATTTTCACTCGTCAGCAAAGCCCTGCGAAGGAAATTTGCTTTCGTTAGCGTTAGCCACACAGGGGTAGTCAAGCAAAAGGATTCAAACCCTGTATGTATCCTAAACCGTGGGAGAATCTCTTCTGAGTGCTCGTCGCCCACTTCTACTATCTGAGCAGATCGCTCGTAGTCCAGGCATATACTTTGCAATTGCTTTTCAAGATCATTCCACAGTGTTGAAGTCACAAATGTAGATCCGGCTTCTTTTGCTTCCATTGCAGCAAATTCAGAAACGTACTGTCGTGCTCGACCCTGGCGTTGGGTGAAAGATATAATGTTGTCTGGGCTGTCAAATGAAATGACAAGATGACAGGCTGGGATATCGATACCCTCCTCAAGAACGCTGGTAGCAATGATCAAATTTGTCAAGCCGCTGCGGAACTGTGATACTAGGGTCTCAAGTTTTTCGAAAGGTAAAGTATCATGCTTGGCCCATGACTCAGAGTGAGCAGTGCTGCTCACACAGGGTGCGCATCGATATCCATTTTGAGTCAATGGATGTGTATTAAGCAGAGCTGAAAGGACATAGGCAGTCACCCTTTCCCGGACGAAAATGATCCCCGAAAAGTCTGGGCGGGATTTCTCCTTCAAAAAGGACATGAGCCGTTCAACTTTATCGGAGATGTTGCCAGGTACATGCAAATGGGCAACATGACCTTCTAGCTCACTTCTCAGAAGAGCCATTAAAGCTGTTAGTTCTTGGTCAGGCGGTCTTTCCGAGGAGAAGTTTTCATTCATGGCGAAGTGGCTGGAAAAATGTGAAAGGTTCATATTTATGTAGTATTGTAATGCCCAGGTGCCTAATTGACACCAAATGGCACGAGCTTTTGCAGGGAGCTTTGAGAGGCTGCTAGGAATGGCGTGGCGGTCTCTCTCTCCGTTCTCATGTAGTGTTTTGACGATCTTTTCAAGCTTATGCAGATATAAAGGTGGATTTACAGAGCCATCGAAGTTTTGGGTGTAAGTAATCTTAGTAAAACTCCGTTGAGGAACATGTGCAGTCAGTTCTTGCTGGTGAATCAATGGGGTTCGGCAAGTCGCATCTAGATTCTGTTCAAGCTGCCTTAGAAAATCGTTAGCTTCAAATTTTGTTCCGCTGTATGACTCAGCCTACCCAATCTTTGCTACATCAACTGCGGCTGTTAGTCCAAGGATGCTGGGTACGGTCGCATGTTCCCCTTTGACCTTATGATAGAAGTCGCGCATTATGCGGTTCCCTGGATGTGACTTCATGCAATGATGAGCTAGTTCACTGTTAGATCTTTAGTAAATATTTGTCTTTGCAGCTCATACCCTCATCGAAAACTATCAGCGCTAGCTGCGGCAGTTGTATGAAACCGTGTGTGAGCGCATCCGCAAGTACAGCATGGGTAGAGATAACCACTTTCATGCCCTGGAGGACTCTATTCCATATAGCTTGGTTGCTCCAACAGTCGACTCCATCATCCCCTGTCAGCGCTCTCATGCTGACTGCGGGCATGTGTTTTGAAAGATAAGCCAACTGTTGGCTGCACAAGACTTTTGTCGGTGCGAGGAACCACACCATCTCATGGAGTCAATACCTAGTCCAATTTCGCTTCTAGAATTTGCTTACCTGATGTTTCTGACAGCGTTCCAGTTCCGCCATGATTCGCATACTAGCTCTAGCTGAAAGGTCATCTCGAGGGCCATGGGGCAAATAATGATGTAGGGCATACATGTAAGTTTTTCCGCTTCCCGTGGGCATCTAATCATCTCAGCATTAAACTCGGGTACAGGATCGACGTAGTCGGGCATAGATCTTACGACAGCTATTATATTTTCCTTCATGCTCAAGTCAAACATTTCGAGTTGGTAGCTGCGCGGCTGAAAGTTGTCCATGTTGACTGAAAATCTTGTTGAATTCACGACTGACACGGGGGTGCTTGAATCTTTGTTCTTCATATAATGGGAAGAGGATTGACTTAACACCATTCTCTTCACCGGTCTAATGGTGCTGACTTAATATGCGCCATGGAAAGACTATCAAGCCAATGGAATCATGCAACGTGGACTGGGGAGCAGGGGACTCAGTCAAATGCACGGGCCTCCTCAACAGCGTTTCTTCGCCATTTCAGAAAACCTTGTAATCGTTGGCGTTCTTCCTTCTCTAAATACAAGGCGCATTGCTTCAAAGATCCTCATTTGCCTATACCCGCGGACCTTTCTTGTTGGGCGTCATCGTGAAAGTGTACCGGGCCTTCAAACTTCTAATACAGTAATTGTCCGATGTGAGAAATAGTCCGCCGCCGGAACCAGTCTTGCTTTACTTAGACAAAAGCACTGCTGTTGATGAAACTGGAAACTAAGTCCGAGCAGGGCAGGGTATTATTGGTTACTAAACCGAGTTTAGTAGAGTATGGCTAGACTGCCACGTGGTCCGTATTGATAATGCAGACATCTCCCTCAAAGCCGAAGTCTTGTACTGAGTTGTGTGTCGCACCTTGTGGTTATAGCAGAGTGTGATGAAACTCGAGAGATGCTACGTTGAGTAAGAGAAATATCCATCCAAATTTTGGGACGGCCAGAACTTGTCGCTTTGGAAATGCAAAACCTGGAAGAAAGGGGAGGTTTAGAAACGGCTTACCAGCTCTGATGTATATTCAAAGGCAATTATAGCGACCCATCTGCAAAATAATCTATATCCTAGAGTTATTGAGATTGGAGAGTGGTCGGCGTATCGATATAGTCGTAGAGACAGACTCATTATCCAGATCTCTTGAAAGGCACGGGATAATCTCTGTCTGAGCCATGGGACTGCAAAGAGATCATTTGCAACGGTATCAGCAGGGACAGCGCAATCATAATGACACGGAAAATTCCACTGAGACAATTGGATCTGTACCACTCTTGAAAACAGCTGTGATAGGCTGCAGATTGTGGAGAGGAGTCTCGGCATCTGTGAGCTTTTTATCATCTCTGTTCATTTTATGATGGCTCCTGAAAGCGCAAAGGAGAGTATGGGGGAAGTTGAAGGTCCCTAACTGGGCATCAAGTTGATGGCTAACCCTCTCTCCTAATCCGAATATGGTAGACTCTCGGGTTGATGAGTCTTATATCGATAGTATCGTTGCCGCGTCAAAAGATTGGTTGGAAAGAAGGACACTTCCTGCACCAGACAATTCATATCTAAGCCCAAGGGTAGTACCGGGCCGCGCATTAGCTCCACAGCCATACAACGATCCATCCAGCTATGAACGCTACGAGATGCTATTGAAAATTCCCTGGCCCTGGTGTTGCATGTCAATGTAAAATGCTTTTTAGCTCAGGACAAGTGCTTCGCGCTTCTTTAGGAACAGCACGTAAAAGGCTATGAGTGGGAGTACGGAACTCACTCAACATCCTATGACCACTTGGGCCGACACCTCTGCAGGGCGATATGAGCACGAATGACCAGAAATGCCGAAGCAGGGGTGTTTTAACACGATAACAGAGATTCTGTCGATTTGATCTAGGGTTCCGGTCATGGGAGACCTACGAAGCCACGGAAAGGGAAGCACGTGTGAAGTCATGAGACTAGAGGATCTACGAGAACATTCACTCAATATTTCTAAGAACGAAAAATTTTCAACTCGTCGTAGGCGTCCCTCCCCATCATGAGTCTTTCTTCTGAAGCGAGGCATCTCATCACACGATCATCGGCACACCACAGAGTCCACCCGTCGTCATCTAGGGCGGAAAGCAGAGCGCCCACCAATATCGCTATCATCCACGGTCCGAATACTGCCTTGGCAGGACACTCGCATACACCGTAGCCAAAAGGCATAAAGGCGGACTTTTGATCCGGAGTTATGTTCATCCACCGGCTCGGGTCGAATCTTGCAGCCCCCGGGCCCCAAATATCGCTTCTCAAATGGCAAGCTTCGATATCTGCCGCGATGATCTTAGATGAAGTTCGGCCGACTGCTTCAACTTCACGCAGGTTTCCAGGCCCGTATTTTGCCGTGGTGTCCTCCCACTCATACGCCCGGTAGATTCGCCGAGTCGGAGGATACAGCCTCAATGCTTCCATAACAATGTCTTTTACCGACGGCTCCACTCCTCGATTCGACTGAACATCGCCCTTGGCATCGGCCGTTGTTGATAGATCTTCTCGCAAGGTTGGACGTTTCTCAAACTTTGCCTTGGTTGGGTCCCGACAAAATGTCTCAATCGCTTTTCCCCATTCGGGGTGATCGCGACCTGATTGAAACTTGAGCTCTAATAGCGCACGTAAGACGACTCTCCACATGGTCTCAAATGACGGAAGGAGTAAGTTCAGTGGGTTTTGTTCGGGGCCGGCTTGCGGAAATAGTGCGTTAAGAGTAGTTCTGAGTGGATCGTTGTGTTGGAAGTCAATACCACGGATATCATCCCCAGCCCAGGTGTTAATTTTCGATTGTATCCAGCCTCTGTTGATCTGTTGAGCCAAGTGCAGCATTTCGAAATCTTTGGGACAATTTTCTGCCTCTCCTTTGAGGACTGTTGCGAGGGTAGCCTTCAGTGTCAATACTTGCACCAGGCTCGTGATGTCTAACTTGTCAGAGCAGTGGCTCGCAGGCGGGCTGGGCGGTACGGAATTGCACTGCCTGCTTTTCCAGCTGTCAGTGTTAAAGCCAACAGAGATCCACTGTCTTGATGTGTGCAGGAGCATCAGACCCAATTTCAACCACTCGAGAGATCCCAGCTTGATCCGTTGACTAGCCTCGCGCACAAACTTGTCCACGAATATGGGATCAGTACTCGTGAAGCCGTTGTCGATGTTGAACACATTGCGGAGCCTTTGGTTTGGTGGAGCCCTTGCCTTCTGGATTGAGAGTCGTTTCGGCTTGGAGCCTCGAGCTTGCTTGCACTCGATGAGCTGATGACATAAGATAGGATCTGAAATGTGTTCAATGCCAAAGCCAACAGATATTTCCGGCTGTGCAGCCCGTGGGAGGAGCCGAGAATGCCAGAGATGGTAAGAGATCAAAACGGTGGTAGCTATGAAAACAATAAGATAGATGGCATTCGACATTTTGAGCGTGTTTCAGTGAGAAGCACACAAGTGTGATATCGAAGATTAAGTGACACCAGAAGCAAACTTCTTTCAAAATCGATATGAGAGACAGATACTCATTCGCCCCTTAGCACACTGGTACCAAAATAATGGAGCTCCGCACGAAGAGTGCCAATGGATACAAAAAAGAGTGAACGTTTCTTCAATACGATATATAGTGATGTGTCATCTTTCGGCTTCGTAATGTTCGTAAGAGCTCTATCAAGGGCGCCCTAGATAATGAGTCATGCAAGGTTGGGCTGAGTTCTTCTACAAAGAAGTACCTTTAAGATGGAAGAGCGGGACGATTGATCCCAATGCTGTCAATAATGTATCGTATCAAAGTACAGGCAATACAGAAATTACCAGTATGCACCTCATTTGACTTCGTACTGAGGAATTTTGAAATAGTATCGTTGTGACCAAGAGACAAAGACGGTGAAAGATAAATTTAGAATGGTCTTATTATTGAATAAACTCAACAAATATGTTAATCGACTTCGGCAACTGGCAATCAATCAAGTTCTTGAAAAGTCATCCATCGTAGACAATCATCCTGATTCAAAAACCAAAATCACCAAATTCTACGCCTCGACTCATCTGCGAAAGTTTGCAATTATCTGCAGGCAAACCAAGCAACCTCATTGACCGAGCCCTCCATATGCCAAAAGTTCTCAAAATTGGACATGTATCCTCACGTGTCCACTGATATTGAGTAAGTTGGATATGAGGGTCTGACTCTATTTGCTGTGGTCGAGTAATGTACAGTCGAGATTTATCCACTATGCCATGTCTTAAAGGTAGGTCAATAAACTAATTGCTCAAGATCAAAATGGTTTTATTATGACATCGAATTCGTTATTCAGTTGAGCTAGTAAATAGTCTGGCCGCAACAGAGACTTCACACAGTTCACGCTCAATCAATGGCCCTGTCGACATTTCACCTCTAACATTCTAGGCGTATTCCAGGATAATGTAATAGGCCAAACAATTTTCGGGGGAGTGATTGCGGGGGGCCACCAATGCGGGAGGCCACCAATGCGGAGGCCGCCAATGCGAGAGGCCACCAATGCGGGAGGCCACCAATGCGGGAGGCCACCAATGCGAGAGGCCACCAATGCGGGAGGCCACCAATGCGAGAGGCCACCAATGCGGGAGGCCGCCAATGCGAGAGGCCACCAATGCGGGAGGCCACCAATGCGGGAGTCACCAATAAAGCATACTGTGAATGAATCTTGTATTTTCTTAGTATATTGATCATATAGAAAGAATTTAAAATAGTATGGTAAGGCGAGTACGAGCTGCGTATGCAGGGAGATGCATGGATTGCCCTATGAAGTCTTTCGGCATCTCTGCAAGCCATATGCGTAACCCCCCCCAATTCCCCACGCTCACTGTCCTCCCGGCAGCCACGCTCAAGGGCCTCATATTAAGCTTAACTTTCAAATATATTCTGTCAAATTTTATCTCGACAATGCTGCCTCTACGCCGGAATTCTTTTGCACACCGTACCTTCATATCCACTGGATAAATACCAGGAGGTACTATGCCTACATTGCAATCCAGGCTAAGCGTGAGAAGCCATCCTTGGGGAACTTGCGGTAGAACACACGGCATGATTTCTAAATGCAGTTTGTTGAGTCGGAAGAAGGGCAACCAATTTCCATATCTGTTTCAGGCTGTTCTTCGTGTCATCTTACATCTTTTTCTTGGAGATCTATCATTTTTCCAACAGTTCCAACCGTGGAAAGCACCAGAACTGAGTGGGAAAGAGCGGCTGAAACCTCCAGAACATCAGAAAAGCATAATGATGATGTGTGAATACAGTAGACACTTACAACGGATGTAGACTTTGTAGTCGAAGACAGAGTGAGCTGCTGAAAAAGAAACGGAATATAACATCTTAGGAATTGCGTACAGTTATCAGACCGCTGTTCATAATCAATATCTGAAGTCTACTGTATGTTACACTCCTTTTCAATCCTTTACAAGAGTGTTTCAGGTACGGAGAGACTAAGTGTCATTGTCCGTCTAGCGTGTTGCTCAAAGCTTAGTAGCAGAGGGAAGTTCTTTTGCAGGAGAGGAGATTAGCGGAGGTTCATTGATGCTAGTCAATAGAGATGCCGCCACTGAAGGATATCTGTTTGAGAGGACGAGAGAGCTTCCTAAGGGGTCCGATTTTTATAGCTTGGACGCTAGGTCTGCTCCATATCTATTTCGGAAAAGACAGATTGGCGAGGGAATTAATGGTTCGCTGTGGGGGATTGGGAATAATATCGACGACAGCTCATAGGATGGTTTGATCGACTAGGTACAACTGTGTGAAGCTTAGAGTCAGTCACAGGCATTCGATGTGACCCACTTGCATATGCTTTCTTAGCACCTAGCCTACACTCCACATCAGTTGATGTATCATCCCGTAAGCAACTTAGCACCTGCATGGCTGGAACGATAGCTGAGACCGCTCTCTTCGATCATTACAAAGCGGCTGAATGACCTGATTTTATTTTTCGACCAATAGATGCAGGCGCAGATGTAATGTCTCTTTGCTGGGCCCTGCTGTTGCTTATAGATGTTACATTTCATTGGTTGGCTGCGACTCCTCTCTCCACCGCCCACCGCTTATTTGTACTTCCTGTCAATTATCTCTCGAAGTCTCTAGTATTCCGGGCGGTGAGTATGCCGCAATACCTTCTATTTTTCATTTCTTATGACGAGATATCGGAATTTACAAGGGCAAAGACAAACCGTGATGTGAGGCGACCTAGAGAAGTAGCGTTCATCCCGTCTGGAAAATCAATCAATCATATCAACTGGCTCACTAGTACCAGGCTGTACTGGCCTTTGACGATCCGACCTGAAATTCCATGGCACTGGCGAAGGTTCTCCATTCAGTTGGAACGGTTTTCCAGGTTTCATATCCAGTATTTGCCAAATGATTAGTATTTTGCTCTTCAAGACATCATGGCGACAAAAGACGGAAAGTCACATGTACCATAACCGCACTATTATTTAATAATCCGGAGTTGCGGTGAAGCTCAAAACTTATCTCTGTGCCTCCTCCCCTGCCTCCTCATCTCAACCAATGCACCATTCCTAGAGCTGCTCGAAGGATTATCTCTCTTCTTTGTCGCTATAATGGACTGTGTATTTGAACCTGGGTTTGACCAAGCTACGGCGAATTTGATCATTCAACTGCAACTTGAGGATGTCAGCCTTCTCGCTGAATATTCGAAAGGAAAGTGCCGAGAACCTACAGATGAAGAGCTGGCATTTCAGCTACAAAATGACGAATTGAAAAGCATGTCCCAGCTGCTCTTTGATAGACGGATGGCCATGAGCGTCGCAACCGCGGTTCAGGCTGATGCGCAGATTTTGGTTGACAGCCAGGTAGAAGAGGATGAAATCGCTAGAGACGGGGATATTGCTCGTCATTGGACAGAGAATGGTGAACGTTCTGTCGCTGCGAAAGACTTATTGTCTAACTCAGGTTCAACAGCCCTGGATGATGAGACTCTGTCTAAACTCCAGATATTATACGTATCTGGCATTGAAGGTTACCAGAGATTTGACCACTTGGACGAAACCGGTTCAGAAAGAGAGCAAGCCGAATCGTCCGCTTGGGCTGACCGACGAATCCGTCAGACTCCATCACGAATACATCGCTGCGTTGCTTGTGCAGAAGACAAGGAATTTGTCAACGTGGTTCGTGTACCATGTCGTCATGGATATTGTCGTGACTGTCTGGGAGATCTTTTCAACGCTGCTATTATTATTATTATTAATCAAGTTTATTGTCCGTATCGAGCCCTAAAGCTATGACAGACCACGGGTCTGAGGTTGGGTCTGTTTCCGCTTGGTATAGCTGTTTCCAGACCCCCGCTGCTATGAGTTCCTGGGCGTGAGCCCCATGTATATACAGTCAGGTCCTTTTCCTCGCCCCAAGCCGCCTATTTGCGCAGGGCATTCGAGCCTTTTGTGGCTCTCCTCGGTGTCTCAACCGGGATGGGTGTCCCCTAGGCTGAGTGCCTAGGCTACCCTTCCTGCTATCCTTCCCCCATCCTCTCAGTTTCCTCCAAGTCCTCTAATCCCCATTCATCATCTCGTCGAGCTCGCTCTGCCAAAGCCAGGTGATGGTCTTGAGGCAGGGCTGCCTTCGTCATGGCCAAAAATTGTAAGATGGCCTCTGTTGCCTTCGGTTCCCCAAGAAGCCTGCCTTCTGGGCACTCTTCGGCTGCTGACGGTCTGGTGACCCCAGCTCGATCCAGCGCGCGGTACAGCTTGATTCGCTGGTGCTGCCACGCTCGACATTCAAAGAGAACGTGATGCACGGTCTCTTTCGGTGCATCGCCTTTCTCACACGCAGGGCTTTCCCGTGCGTGAATCTGGTGGAGGTGAGCTCCGATAGCCGCATGGCCGCTCTTTAACTGGAAGAAGCGGGTGGCCAGCGGTTTCAGGGCTCGCGATGCGACTGGGTCCAGTGTCCAGCCTCGATACGGTCGATAGGTTCGCTGTTTATAGCGAGAACGCTTTGCTAAATCTCGGGCGAGCCAGACTTGTTTGCGGTTTTGGATGTTCTCCGTGCACGTCCGGTTGACAAACGCCAGTGAGAGTCCTGTGATTCCTTCTGGATGGCACCCCGGTCGACTAGCCGCGAGCTTTGCCGCTTCATCAGCTTTCTCATTTCCCTCGATTCCGGCATGGCCGGGCACCCATTGAATGATGGTTTCTCGGCCTCGCTCCTGTAGAGCTCTGGCTGCTGCGTGAGCTCGAAGCGTCAGTTCCTGACCGGGGCCTGCTTGCGTGTGTCGCAGCCTCGCAATCGCGGCTTGGGAATCCAGCAGAACTGTGATTGGACCACTGTCATCCACTTTCAGTGCGGCCTGGAGGGCCTGCACGACTCCCACAAGCTCCGCATCAAAGACTTCTCGTCCCGTTCCAAGGGGAAAGCTCCGGGTCCTCCACTCTCCGCAAGGCTCTTGCCAGGCAATCCCTGCTCCTGTCCGGCCGTTCTCGAGCCTCGACCCATCTGACCAAATCGCGCTGCCTGGTTGCACCGTCCGCGCTGCGGTGAGAGAGTCCTCAGTCCTTTGGACAATGATCCTCCCTAGAAATCCGCTGCCATTACCACGCCGAGCGCTCTCGAAGCCCGCAGATGGATCGGCTGGGAGGATGTTTGCTAGTTGTCGCGCTAGGTGCTGTCCTAACGACCATGGTCCCCGGCCGTGCGGTTCGGCCCAGAGTCGATTTCCAGGGGTGTGCTCCCCAGGTTGCGCATGTTGGTCGCCCTCCCGAAAACTAACCGGGAGGATTGATCTGGCTGGACTATCGTCCGGTAGGCTAAGCAGCCGAGCCGTGTACCGCAGCTGACGGCCCTCAAGGAGGACCTCGGCCGGCGTTAGACCCGCTTCCCTATTCAAGAGACCCACGGGTGTGGTCTTAAGCATTCCTGTGATCGCACGGGCTTGTCTGTTGATCATCCGCTGCATTCCCGTGATACAGTCCTTTTGGCCGCGCCACCAGAGTTCTGCTCCGTACAGGGCTACCGACTGTACCGCAGCCACCTGGATCCGATGGACCAGGCCTGGCGCTAGGCCTTGTACGCGACATAAGGATTGAACCCGAGATTCTGCATTCCGGGTCTTGCGAAGGCGTGTCTGATAGTGCATCTTTAGTGTGAGGCCGGCGTCTAGCCAGATCCCCAGCCACCGGGTGGCCTCGTGGTTAAATGAGACTGAATGGCCTCCTACCATGATGCGGGCCCGCTGAATTTGATTCCGTAGCTCCTGTCCACGCTTGCGGGTGAACAAGACCGCCTCGGTCTTCTTCGCCTCGAACTGCACGAGGTTGCTCTCACCCCATTCGATTGCAACCTGGGCAGCTTCCTGTAGTTTCAACGCTGCTATGACCGATGAATCTCTCTTTCCCCCACGCTGCTGCGGACAACCCATCATTACGAGTATAGCTCGCATATTCCTCAAGTCCGACCTTGTAAAGGAGTATGAAAAGAAGAAAATCGAATTTGAAACTCCGAATAGAACCTACTGCTACTTCCCTGGGTGCTCTGCATTCATCGCAACATCGAAGATCGAGGATGAGGTTGCCACATGTTCCGATTGCGGCCGTACAACCTGTACAAACTGCAAAGGACGGGCGCATACCGGGGATTGTCCAAATGACGCTCCCCTGCAACTGCTTCTAGAAACAGCGCGGGAGAATGGATGGCAACGCTGTTACTCCTGCTGGCGAATTTCGTCACCTTCCCTTGTTTTTCTTTCCACTTCTGCATATGATGATCTAATCAAGTATGGTTCTAGCTGTCGCTGCGGTGCTCAGTTTTGTTACAACTGTGGGGTGCAGTGGAAAGGCTGTACATGCGAACAATGGAACTAGCATCGTCTCCTTGCGCGTGCATATCAGATAATTGATCGAGGGCTAAACACTCAACCGCATGCGCAACCTTTACCGGAGATCGACATTCCTGAAACAGAGATGCAGGAGAGGCCACAAATGTCAGATGAAGAATCACAGACCTCGCCAGAACCTACGGCTTCACTCTTGGAAACCCACCTCACTCATAGACCTACATCAAGAGATATTCTTGTCGCAAGGACAATTCAGGAGCTCCGCGAGAACCACGAGTGTTGCCATCAGAAATGGAAGTATGTACGCGGGCCACATCGATGTGAAGAATGTTCTCATTACCTGCGCGAATATATCCTCGAATGTCGACAGTGCCGGTTACAGGCATGCAACAGATGCAGACGAAACAGGCTCTGAACTTATAAAGGATTCGGACTTCGTTGGACTTACTATACAATTAAGATACCTTGAAGCTAGTTTACTCTATGCGGCTTTCAAAGAAAGGGCGAACCACCAGCCCCAGTGGTGTGAGGTCAGACTAATCCTCAAAGTATTGAAAGGTCGACCCTGGGTATCTGATCATGTAGCCCCCCTGATTGTAATTAATTGGAAAGCGAACTAACTACGACGTATGAATGACACATTTATGCTCCAACAGGGTTTTCAGTGGTCAAGGTTCGCCTTTGTCACAGCTTGGATCTATAGACTCCTTTTTATAGCGATGCGACCGTAGTAAAGAGCAGATAGCAAATTGAATGTCCGATGAGTTTGATGACCTGACTGGTGAGGGTGATGAATATTTCCTGGTTATTGAGGGAAGTACCTCTGCAATATTTCGTCACGGAGGCTATACCTGAAACTAACCGTACGTACAATTCAATGCTCCAGCGTCTTGGTATTAGCTCGTGATCCAATACCGGCCAAAGGTTATGATTATTGTAAGCCTTCCATGTACCCTACGTATCGTGCCTCTGGGGTTTTGTGTCCTACAGTTGTTGGCATAACTCTCAATCGTGTTATACCAAGGTTGGGCGCCCCTTTTCACAATGATGCGGGTGACTTGCATTTCCCCACGGTACAATGGGAAGCGACCACTGTGCCTCATCACGCCTCGTCTTGATGCTCCAATTCGACATGCACTCACGAGTCCTTGGGCCGATACTAGCGTACTAGCGATACTAATGGCATAGTAGGTGAGTAGTTTAGGTAGGGTAACAAGAAGACGAGATTTTGGGGACACTGTTCTCGCTGGCGGCAATTAGGTACCCACAACCCCGTTGCGCAGGGAGTTCTCGTTATGAAGCAGTTGCTGCGGTAATGTACGGTGATGATTCTTAGCGAAATTGTATGTGATGCGGGTGTACGTACCTAACGTAGTCTCCGGCCGACCCGATCACCCAGTGGTCCAGATCACCCTAAAACACCATACTGAAGGCGACATTTCACAAGTTCATACTGTGGCTCAATGCTTGAGGCTAATTCTATGGTTCTAGGGTATCTGAGCATTAGAAATGTCATACTCGGTGTTTCTATCAGCTCAAAAATTATTTTGGGCCAGTAGAACATAGCTATATATTTATTTGCAAAAATTGTCGGATTAGGGCCCGTAATCCCTGTCGAAGACATAGAGTGAGATAAGTTGCCAGGGTCTGCTCTCTGTGCTTATGGATACGAGTGCCATTCTGCCTTCAATTTTCGCACGTCGATTTAGAGTGATGTATTTGGCCAACGCCAATTGAACCGGTCGCACGAGTAATGAGGACATCTGATGCCAGACGGCAGAATTTAACAAGGGAGAGATAGAAATTCCGCCTTAAAGTTTGCCTTCTGCACGGCATGCAACAACCATTTTACATTGAAAAGCAGGGCAGGCTATAAACTTATCATTTGGCAATCGAAAGTACTGATCTAAATCGAGCGCGCCTGCTAGTTTGCTCCGCTGAGTGGGTGGTGTTGATAAGCCCAGCAAACTCATAGCACCCTCTTTACCGGTTTCGGTGCAGGTGACTGCATTTTATTCAAGTCTCTATCTAATTCTCACAGTAAAGCTGGCTGAAAGGGAGAGGGTTGGGAGACTTGCCGAAGATGTTCGGCAAGCCTAGCGGTAATGCTAAATGGAAATTTTTTGGAGGTAAGTCTGCTCTTGACTTGCTCTTAATCTTGGAAGCAAATAAGAGTGACTTCAAAGATGATAAGGCTTCGATCGTTTTGTTGGCTCGTCAACATCGGCCTCAACTTTGAATACGTTTGTTAAGATCGCAGACCGCATGGGCTGGTCAGATGCCGCGGTCAGAGCTCCAGGTGGCTTTATTTATGCTTATGGAATAGATGGCGATGATGAATTATATTAATATATTGGTAAGCTGCCCATGGGACTGCTGACGGGATCTCATCGATCGGCCACGGTTAGCCCTAAAGCGTTTCGTTTTCTGGACGTGTCCGCGTGGAGACCAGTCGATTTTCATAACAGGAAAATCGACTCTCGGCCGCTCTTTTATTCTCTACAGTCTGCAATCAGCCTCACATCCCCGGCTTCACATCCTTGGACTGGTTCCCTTGTCAGAATAGCCTCGTTCATCGCATACCATACCATAGCGTCCATTAGCTTGCTGCAATAGCGCGGGTGGGTTGACTTGGTTGGCCATATAAAGCCGATGAAGTAGTGCGTAGTCACCGAGGCAGCCGGTTCCAAGTGATTAACCACCAGTAGTTATATACCATTCTCAGCTTGACAAACTATATCCAGGCAAAACACGGACGCTTGCTAGGTCTTATACTTGTCGATCAAAAGACGGGACACTTTCAGCTCGGCCTCCTCTGCTGATGCACAACCATCCACCATTGCAATTTCTTCTTTGTTCGTCACTGCCGATGAGCAGTACGTCGCAATAGCGCCCCCAACCTCAACTCTTTTGGTGTTGAAAATGAGGGTTCCAAGTGATTTGGCTAGGTTCTGCGCCGTATTCCGCGGATGTTCGATGTTCACACCTTCCGTTATGATGCGGCGCAGAAAGGCTAGCAGCCCGATGCGCTCCGCAAACGCATGGCACTGACGGAGATCCCCGCGGGAATCGACAAAAATGGCGCCAATAGTGCTCTCCACAATGTCGGAAATGAACTTCTCCGCGCGTAAACACGCAAGATGCTCCCACGGGTACTCGGGCGCATACTCTAGTGCGTCCCTGATCTGATCGCGCAGAGCTTTGTACCGCTATGTGCAAGCCTCACGCGCACTCTTAATTGCCAGCCCATTGAAACGAAGGAAGTGCCACAGGTGGGTTTTCTCCGAGTGCGACACAGGCTTCACATTGCCTCCGGGCGCCTGGCAGACTTCAATGTTCGGAATTAAGTCCGGAACGCCGAAATCCATGCACAAGAATGCGAGCAGATTCGCGTTGACGACTGCATGTTTGATCTGGGTCATCTTGCCCTGGGAAAGTTGGTGAGGGAGTGCTGCTAACGTAGACATGACTATAATATCCAGGACCGCATCGCCGAGGTATTCCAGGCGCTGGTAGGATTGCGTAGTGGTGTCATGCTCACAGGAAGGGTGGGTGAGGGCTTCTGTCAGCAACGCTCCGTCCTTGAAGGAGTATCCGATGAGGCGGGGAAGGCGGTTCTGATCGATGAGATTACTTACGCCTGGCGGGTGGTATCGTGCATCAGATTTGCTCGAGTGGTACTCACTACCTCTCCCACTGCATTGGTGCTGGTGAATTTGTCGATCTCCGGCAGGAAGCAGTGCAAACAGGCCTGTGCCCTGTGCAAGCCACCGTCCATGTACCCGGCACCAATCAGTGCTTCGACTACATCAGCTAGCATCTTTATTGAAAGATTCCGCTTCCGTTTGCTTGCATGCAAGGAGGATTTCTGCGAAATCAAGGGGGAGTCCCACTCGCGCGGCACGAACCCGTTGGTAAGGATAAATCTATCCAAGCCAGTCTCAAGGGCCGCGCGAGCTAGCCGCTTATTATTAACAAGATTGTCACGACTTTCGGATAAATATCCCTCATGCCAGCTTGGTTGCGCTAAGAAAAGCTGGTAACTCACGGTGAACTTGAGGATTGAGTCCCCAAAGAATTCGTACCGTTGATAGTCAGTGGCAGCTTGAGCAATCGGCGCAGTGATTGCCGTGATGATGTGGCTGAGGTCTTGGATCCCGACACCTTTGAGGATAGTGTCATTCAATCGGTTTGCGACGGTTGTTGCTTCAAATCGGTTGAGCAGAGCGGGAATCAAACGTCCGGCCATGGCCTTCGCCGCAGGGAGCTTGTCAACGGTGCAACCTGATGCCGGGAGGACGCGTATCTTTGGCAGCGCTGTCTCAAAAGTGCCAATCTGCAGAAAATTGCGTCTACGGGGAAGCGATTGGCATTCCAAATAGATCTGGTTGTCGTCCTCGCAGATCCACCTTCTGAACAAGCACAGTTCGCCATAATTTTCTGTGTCTCGAATGATGCCCTTTGGGGAGATTGTCTCCCGTGAGTGGAGATCGACGGCCTTTTCAGTTCCCCCATAGTTGTGTATCCACTCTTCCAGTTGCGCCAGAGGGATAATGGGCACAAAAAGTGCCACGAAATCGCCCGACGGGGCTCGTACACGCGAACTCGGGGCTTGCAGGTAGGCGAATGTCGTGCTCCTCATGGTCATGATAGTCTCCATTGTTGCTTCTACTGGTTGCGGTTGTGCGAATTTTGCGATCAGTGTGGTGCCGCGTTTCCAATAGAGAGGTATGGGATCCGGCATGACTGTCCTCTTAGGCAACACGATGGACATGGACAGGTCTCCAATCGCAACTCCGTCGTCCTTGTTCGAGACCGTGATAACAGCCTGATGAAGCTCAGGCGATGTCCACGCGTGTGCCAATTCCACGAATGGGTCGTACTGCTCGGAGCACTCGATAATAGGAAGGAAGATTTATTTCTTCAGTGAATCGCAGCCCCGGCTTGCGTGTGAGTGGCAGCAGATTATTGTTGACGAGACCATACACATGAAGTGCTTTGTACGCCTGGAAAGCTGCTTCCTTTTTGGCGGCTCGCTCTGTACGCCACCATGTCTGGCCTTGCGCACGGCGGACGGATGGGGCAACGGAAGTGGGCAGGGTAACAGTGCCTCGGATGCACCCGCTCTTGTCTTCTTCAAAGGAGAACATTGGACGGTTGTCGGCGTATTCATCGACGGGTAGTACCGCGCAGAAGTGCAGCAGATGCTGCATCGCATCATTCGCCGACATGCGTGCGCCGGTAGACGGCACCAATAAGAATGAGTCAACGGGTTCGTCAATGCTCTCGAGTGCGCATGCCTCGCGACGTTGTCTCTCATCATCTTGATATGCCTCGACCATGTCCTGTTCCAACTTCTGCCATTTATGCAGAACCAATGATTCATCTTGGGTAGATATCATAATAGCATACGTCGACTGTCGATGCCGGGCCCTGCCTCAACGCTGGACGAAGGACTTCAGGTTGGCAGGTTTATCGTAACATACGACCAAGCTGCAGGTGCTGACATCCAGACCTTCTTCTAATGCATCCGTCGTCACAATCAGGTTTATCCGGCCAGCTCGAAACTCGGATAGCGTATCTCGCTGCGTATCCTGACTTAGTAAATTACCTAGGTAGTCTTTCCGGCTGGTGTTATTCGACCAGCCGACATAAGAAGCACTGCGAAAATGATTCTTTGTCGCAGGGTGCATTGACAGGACGCGAGCTAAAATGCTGACTGTGGCCCTTCGTTTAGCAAAGATCAAGCCGGAAAACTCGGAATGATCCATCTTCTCAAGAAAAGCAAGCAGCTTTTCCAGCTTCGGAGAGATATGCATACTATCGGCGGTGATCTCAGACACGGGCAAATCAAGCAGGAGCTCGAGCAGAAAGAGTCTCTCTGCACGGTTAACGCCAGTCATTGAAGTATCATTTTCAATTGTATGCCGCAAATGGTCAACCGACGTTCTGATGAAATAGTCCGTGGCCCAGTCACCGACCTCCTCGTAAATATGGTGGCTGATTTCGAGGAATTTGGCAAGCTGGTCGCTGCAAAAGGTCTTTCCGCTTTTTAGTATTTTCTCCGCCTGTTCCTGAGTCTCGGGCTTCTGCCGGAGCATCTCAAAATAGGGATCATTCTGCAGGTCAAAGGATTCAATGAAATGAATGAGAGAAAGAAGCAGCTCACTCCCTTTCCCTAGTTCTTCTTTTTGCATCGGCGAGTAGCTAATTCGCTTCAACCGTGGTCGACAGGCGCGCTCAAGAAGTTCAGCCCGATATACGCGGGGAGTTTTGCACACCGCATCTAGGTTGGCCTCGATCGTCCTGATGGAACGTCAGCCACTGGCAAGATGCGGTATCTCACAACACGGACATAATGTAGGTCTTGGAGGTTTGATCGAACAAGTGGGCTGGCTGTCAACCCGAGAATTCTCGGGACTCCACGACTGCCAAAGGTACTACGGGTTGGATGATAATGGTTCTGCATAATTTTGTTCGCTGGGTGACGACGCATCGGTGACGACGCATGCAGTGGTTAGCTATTGAAGATTGTCATTAGTTCCGAGGATGTCATGTAGGAATACAGATCTATCTTGCCTTCATCGAAAATAACGACTGCAAGCTGTGACATGCGCACAAAGCCGTGGTTTAAGGCATCCGCAAGGACGGCATGTGTGGAGACCACCACGCGGATACCTTGCAGGACGGTATTCCAGATGGCTTGGTCGGTCCGTCGGTCAACGTTGTCAAGCCCTGTGAGAACCCGAGTCTTCGCAGATTGTATATGTGAAGCAATGACTTCGTATTGTTGAAGGCACAGAGCCACGGTCGGAGCCAAAAACCAAGTCAGCTGTACCAAGTGTCAGTACGCGCCCAGAGCACGGGCCGACTTTCTTCGATATACCTTCTCTGGGTCCCCTTTCTCAAGTTCATCAATGATACGCAGTACCGCTCTAAGCAGTGTTAGATTCAGACCCTGGGTGGAGGAGATCGAGTTAACGTACATATGAGTCTTTCCACTACCCGTGTCCATCTGAATCAACCTAAATTAGTCCCGAATTCGTTCCGCAGGATGGACGACCTACGGCAACGATGACATTCTGCCGACGACTCGCCTCCAGCATCTCCAACTGGTAGTTGCGCGGGCGGAACGAGGCGCCGTTATGGCCCAGCAGGTCCGGCATCACAGCCGCTGATCCGTCGGGTCTCTCGTCCATTATCGTTACTTTGCCTGGGTCACAAGAAGAACACCTTACCGCTCTATGTTTGGAGGACGATTCCGCGTAAAAAGGTTAAGAGGAAGCGACGTTTTATTAACGGCGCAAGGATCGGGCTCCGACGAAGCAGCACGCCGCCATAACCCACCAACCACTAGGTTCCGGTAATACATGAAATAGTAGGACAAACGCCACGTTAACAAAGTATGCCCAGTCGTGAATTGTTCCGAAAGAATGAAGTGGGGAAGATCGTTGAGAGCTGTGTAAGGAGAGATTTCCCACTTATCAATGTGCATTAGTGAAGCGATGAGCAGCTGAGTAAAATGTACCGAGCTGCAAGTTCTTCTTCATTAAGGCAACCTCAATACTTCCATCAGTAGCAAAACTTCATTTCAAATGGACCAAGCTTTATTCAATGAAGCAAGCTTGGATCAAGCCCCTAATATTCTACTAAAAGAACCAACCTTTCAGCTGTCGTTCCAATGTTCTCAGCACCTTTCAAGGCCATATCGGATACAAATTTATCCTTACTCCTTAGCCTCAACATGAAGGGTTTCGGAAAGACGTACATACCCGCACCTTTTCAGCGGCCTTCCCGTCTGCTCAACTATGCCCCCAAGGCTACTTGTCACTTATTTCCTAACGGTAGACTATTAAGGGCAAGAGAATAAAGGGAGAGTTAGGAGATATGACTCCATCATGGGACTGCTTTAGCATTTCTCTGGGTGGATGTGTATCAGGAATTCCCTGTATAGCTATGGAAATACAATGGATTTATTAAGCCAGCGAAAAGGTAACGGAATCAAAAGGGGATATACTAAAAGATGCAATGAAAAGATTGTTGATTCTGTCGTTATAAAACTGCTGGGGGTTTAAAATATCATCAAGAATACCTGTGACTCGGAGGATACATATCCGAGGTCTCGAAAGGCAGCGAAAAGTACGCGTAATCCCAATACCGAATACCATATCTTCGGAAACCTCAGATGTACCGTATAAGTCAATACGATGCCGATCACCATTTCCTTGACAATGTGTGCATGAAACGCAAAGGATCGTCGCAATACATGAGGCTATGCCTCTTCTGGGGGTTTGCGATCTCCCCTTAACGAATATACCGTTTTCGGAATCGCGCATTCTCGACCCCTCAGATTCCTTCACGTCTCTTATTCCGAAACCTTGTGTATAAAAAAAAGATGTGAAGATACGATCTACTCAGACACAGGATTGGTCTCACCGTCCTGGATATGATCTCTTTGTACATTCCCAATAAGAAGCGAATATGAACTTGGAACGGAGATTCACTATTCCACCACATGACTTTCTGCTATTCAACTTGTTCTAAGAGTGCACTTGAGCCTTTTGGGAGGCTCAGGATTTGCGCTGGGAGACTTTTCTCTATCACAAATGGCTCAGAGGGCAAAGTGTCATGGATCAGAGGGTCCACAATTTTCTGCACTGTGTTACTGAACCTGCGTAACGAATCACCTTGGGACTGGTCGAGTATTGCAATGAACTTTGCAAAATCGCGGTCAGACGGACCAAGGATCCTTCAAAACATTTAGCATAATCGCCCGTCGTACGGTATTAGTGAGCTTACATTTGCTCTGATATGTCCGGGCCTTTCATGTCATCATTCAACATCAGGCCGAGAATGCCACTGCCAAACTTGGCCACCAAGATATGTAATCGCTGGCCAAGTTTACGAACACGCTTTAACGTGGCCTTTTTCTCGTTATAGCCATCAGTGCCAGGGAGCAGATCAGGGAAAATGCTCTTCGTCATTCTTTCCGTAATCTCTGCCTCCGCAGCATGACGTGGGTTTCCCGCTTTCCGCTTTCGACTCTGAAACGATGCGGGGGTGGTGACAATGAGTTTCTCCGCACAATCCGTGCCTTTACAGGTTTCATACAGCTCCAGGATGTGGTACATCCGGAGCAGCCGACACCAGGCAATGCCGGTACTGAGGAGACCTATGATATTGAAACGATCTTTTTCCGACAGACCTGGCCTCGTTCCATACGAACTCGGGGAGGGTCTTTCTCGGTACGATAGGACGATGTGTCGCAAGGTGACTAAAGTCTCTGCGCTGGCGATATGGACCAAGAATTTGGTAAGCGTCTTTGCATGTGCGCCCATACCGATCAGAGCAGTTTGAATAGGCGGAGCAAAAAATGTTTCGAGTGGAAGCGGATACTGGTGACTCCGGCATTTTTTGTTTTCTTCGTCAAGAAATGAGTTGAGCCAGTCATCAATAAGCAGTGCTTGATAATGCTGACCCCTCATTGGCTTTCCGTGCGAATTCTCGACTCGGTTGCTTCTCTGGCCGGAAAAAATGACAAGGTTTTCCTCACTATCTCTAGCGACGGGAGGCGGGTTGTCTCGTGTACCGTCAGTTCCCCGAAAATCGCAAGCTGACTCTTGGCTGCCGCTACCATCACTTATATATTCTGGAACAAATTGGTCTCCATTGGAAGGTCGCTCTAGGGAAGTCCAGAACGGGTCATTCTCGTTCATTGGCAACTCAAAGTATGAGAAGTCATTCACCGGGCTGGGCAAGATATGTCCAGACGTAGCGCCAATAAGGCCTTCCTCGGTAAGCCTGTTGGGAGGTAGCATATCTGGGTTGTATGGGGTACCGGCACTGAGTATAGGTTGCAAAGAAATTTCCATGTCTTCAACTGTGTCGCTACGGATGGAGGATGATGAAGATGGATCGTGTATATCCGGCACAGGTTGTGCGAGAGAGGCAGAGCTTCCTAGGAAGTCGGTGGAAACTAATCCTAGTTTCAAGGCTACCTTCCACGAAGCATTGACGTCTGTCGAGTCGACATAGACTGCTCCAACGATGGCGTCGATTGCGAGAGCCAAGACTTTGGGGGATCGTGAACCCGGTTTCATGCTATACTTGATGAATGTTTCAATACCGGTTCTTTCAGCGACTGAGGCTCGCTGAGCAATAGATATGATGGACGATTCGAGGTTTGTAATCCCGCCTACGAAAATGATTAGTGGGACCCGCTCCATCTATCTTAGCGACCTTACTTCGACTTGGTGCAATTTCAAACACAACAAAGCTCAAAATAAACCGGAGCAAATTGCCTCCAAGGTGAGCTAGTTTTCGGTTGCCATCATGGTTGTGTTCCTCCGCACCAGCTGCCGTCAACGCATGCACAAGATGTTCTCTTGAGCGAAAAGAATAACCGATAATAACTTCGACGGCAGTCGCATTCAAATGAGTAGCCATACTGGAATATTGAATACCACTGGTGTATTAGGCCTTATGGTTTGTGTACTTTTTAAAAGAAATATAACACCTCAACCGGCTTATGCCTAACCCCACTTGGGCTCCTATGTTAACTCCGTGGCTGGTATGCTTGATGATGTGGTCTGAAGTTACTTTTATCGTATTTACGAGACATTTACAACTCCCCCTCCACAAAATGTCATTCATGAAGAAGGAAAATGGGAAGAGAAGTCAAGAAATGCCTCTTTAGAGTGTTAGTGGAGCATCAGCTTTATCAGGTATGCACGCACAGTCCGTGAGTAGCGCACCAAGTGTTAGGTGCAATTGGGCAGAAGACCTTAGACATAATGGTCCCAAACATATCAAGCGCATTCCTGTCAAATTCCTGACAACAGCTGGATTTGGCTTGTAGCGTGGTCTACAGCAACCATTACTCCAGCATCTTACCTTGGCCAGGGCGGTAGTTGCATCTAGTCCGCATTTTCTTACGCTTTGACCGCGTGCAGCTCGTTCAACAAGCAAGCATTTAAAGGTTGGCCTCCGTGGAGAATCCAGGGATCTACTCTCCGGCCCTCTGCGTTCTTTTGTTGCGTGGCCGAATACCTGATAAAAGCCGCATTTATCTTCACCGTCAATCAATATCCATGTCACTTAATCGCGGTCGCGGGCGCGACAGCGAATGGCAAGCTCGAGACGACCGTGGAGCAGGCCGTGGTCGGGGTCGCGGAGAGTCCAGAGGTTATTTCAGAGGAGACTCTCGTGGCCGAGGCGGCTTTCAGGGACGCGGCGGTGATCGTGGCCGAGGCAATTTTCGCGGCCGCGATGATCCCAATGATCGAGGTCGTGGAAATTTACGCGGTGGGTATCAAGGGCCACGAATCTACAAGTAAGTATCTCTATAGTATCCACGTGCCGTATGAGGCAAGAAGAAATTCCGCACATTGCTCTAGGCAGGGTTGATATATGACTCTCAGCGACGGCCAACTAATTCCTACACCGGATCCCAACGTCAAAAAGGTCGAAGATCTTACCGCCAAGGCTCTGTTGGGAAGGAAAAAGACTGCAGACTCAGTCCGCTCCCCCGACCAGCCAGGTTATGGCACGCTCGGAAAGTCTGTCATGCTATATGCCAACTATTTGTCTTTCATTTCCGTTGGTAAACCAGTATTCCGCTACAGTGTGTCTATCGCCAAGGACAAGGGCCGTGATGTGCCAGCCAAGAAAGCGCGGCAGATCGTACGTCTTTTGATCGAAGAGCACTTTGCCAATAACCGGGATAACATCGCCACCGAACTTAATCTCATGTGTTGATCTGTGCCTGAACGGAGACAGGAAGTTCATTGTTCGGTATAAGAATGAGAATGAAACAGACTTCGTCGACGATCCCACGGTCTTGACAGTGACTGTTGGAGCTACCGGAACTCTCAATCCCGCAGACCTGCTGAATTATCTCACTTCGAGTAATCTTGAAGGCCCATTGATGCAACAAGAGCAGACTGTGACAGCGATGAATATGATTATCGGACATTGCCCCAAGACCAAAAAATCGGTGGTGTCAATTGATGGTAACAGGAACTTCAGCTTGGATGCCTCGATGGGTGAAAAAGCCACTTTGGGCGGTGGTTTGGAAGCACTACGTGGTTTGGAAGCACGACGTGGTTTGGAAGCACTACGTGGTTTCTTCGTTAGCGTTCGTGCGGCCACTGCTCGGGTTCTATTGAATGTCCAAGTCAAGTATCTAGCCTGCTACCAAGAGGGTCCTCTGCCGATGGTGATCGGAGAATACCAGCGCGCAAATTCGCGTAGCCTTTACCGGCTAGAGTCTTTCTTGAGGCACATGCGTGTTCGTACCATACATATTGCGCGGAAGACTAGCAACGGCAGAGCTCGACCTGCACCCGTCAAGTCTATCACTGGGCTGGCAAGTCCTGCCGAGGGCCGCTCCGGTGACAACCAGACCAGGGTGCCTCGGTATGGCGCTGGACCCTTCGAAGTGCAGTTCTTCATGGGGTCAAAGGGTACGCAGGGTGCGCCGGCCGTGTCCGCTGCCGCTCTCACTGAAGGCAAAGCCAAGAGAGGCAAGAAAGCTCCCAAAGCAGGGCCAGTCACTCCAGGACAATATATCTCGGTCGGAGGTTACTTCAAGAGAGGTATGTTTATCCGGACGTAAATAGCATAGAGAGGGGATTGATGAAACACAGCATACAACAGGGACCTGGACCCGAGCTTACCTGTTGTCAATGTGGGCAACCGGCAGTTCCCCTCATAGCTCCCGGCGGAAGTGTGTGAGGTTGAACCTGGTCAAGCGGTCAGGACCAAACTGACTCCTAAACAAACGTCAGATATGCTGCGCTTCGCGGTGATGGGTCGCACGCCCGCTCTGAATGCGGAGTCTATTGCTACTAAGGGTGTTCGTATGTTGGGCCTGGGAGAGCCACCGAGTGCTACTTTGGTGGGTTCATCGTTCTAGCCTAAAGCCATAGGACTGACCTAAATTCTGTTCAACTCAATAGTCCGCGTTCGGTATCCGTGTCGAGACTAACCTCATCACGGTGCAAGGCCGCATCTTACCTCCGCCGAAGATCCTATATGCTAAACAGAAGGAGGTCCTCACAATGTCCGGCTCCTGGAATTTGAAAGCTGTCCAGTTATCCAGGCCCGGGGCTATGAAAACCTGGACATATCTCTATGTTCTTGTTCAGGGCGCTCGCCCGCACTGGAACAATCCCGTTGAAATGATGGAGTCCCTCCGCAAGTTCACATCCGTACTCCGAAGCATGGGTATTGATGCGGCTCCACCGAACGAAGGTCAGCGTATCGTCCTTGTGGGCAGAAATGATACTGAGCGCACCGAAAGGAGTGTTCGTGAACTCCATGACCGTTACCGTCCTTCCTTGATTTTGGGCGTCCTCTACGCTAAGGACACCGATCTATACAACTCTATGAAGCAGGTCTGTGATGTTCGCTGCGGTGCGCGAAACGTCAATTTTCTGACCGAAAAACTGCAAGTCGCACAGGACCAGTACTGCGCAAACGTAGGGCTGAAGACTAACCTTAAGCTGGGCGGTGGAAATCAAACCCTTCACAAGTCAGAGCTTGGCTTGCTTGCCAATGGCAAAACGATGCTTGTTGGCCTGGATGTGACCCATCCTTCGCCAGGGTCAGCACGCAATGCTCCTAGTGTAGCCGCTATCGTCGCCTCTGTGAACTCCGCGCTTGCTCAATGGCCTGCAGAAATTCGCATCCAACCTTCTAAACAAGAAATGGTCGCCGACCTTGACACTTTGCTGCAGTCTCGTCTCAAACATTGGGCTCAGCATAACAGGAACGAGCACCCAGATGATATTGTTGTCTATCGTGACGGTGTCTCGGAAGGTCAATACGATCTTGTGATTGGAGAAGAGCTGCCTCTGCTCAAACGAGCTTGTGAAACTATCTACCCGGCTAGCGCCACAAGCCGCGGCCTCCCGCGTATAGCCATCATCGTGGTCGGCAAGTGTCACAACACACGATTCTATCCCACCGCGGAGGCTGACGCTGATCGCTCTGCGAACCCAATGCCCGGCACGGTTGTTGACCGTGGTATTTCCGAGTCCCGACACTGGGACTTCTTTTTGCAAGCACACTCAGCGCTTCAGGGAACCGCGCGTCCTGCTCACTACGTTACTGTGTGGGACGAAATTTTCTCTACTGGTCAGCCAGCGGCGACCGGAGCTCTTGGAGCCGCAGATGTACTGCAGAACTTGACTCACAAGATGTGCTATCTATTTGGCCGTGCAACCAAGGCGGTTAGTGTCTGCCCCCCAGCCAATTATGCGGATCTGGTGTGTACACGGGCACGATGCTACATGAGTGATCTCTTCGATCCTATCGCCTCTGCGACCCCAGAGGCAAGTGTTGTGGGAACTAAGAGCGGCCGGTGCCAGGTGCCTAATAGCCACCTGGCTGTTGTGCATCCCAATGTGAAGGATACAATGTTTTACATTTAAATCATCGCTGTGTTTAAGAACAGGCCCATTCTTGGGAAATCCACACGGGATTGATCTACTGGACTTTGGAACATCTGTTTTGGCTTTGGCTCCGCATTTCGAGATCCCGAATAATTGAATGAAGGTCGACTATTGAAATAATATGCACTTTATCCAACCGGTCAAGAGTTTACCTCGGACATATCCTCAAAATCCCACTTGCTTGCTAGGGTCGTTGGCAAGACACTCTTGACAATTCCACCTGGTTCACGGATATTTAGGATCTTCTCGCCCTCCTCATGCTCGATTTCAAACTTGCCATTATCCACACTACGAGCAAAGGATACTACCATGTGCAACAAGCTTGCAAATCTGGCCAAAGATGGCTGTTGAGATGCTTCCCACAGCTTCAATTCTTCACGCACGTCCTGAACCCGAATGTCGTTGAACTTCCCGAACGTGTGATACGCGAGAACAAAATTAGGGATTTGCCGGATCCATAGCCGTGGCAGCTCTTCTTCAAGCGTTTGCACGTTCATTCTCTTGACAGATCGCGTTTTTAGGTCGAAAACCGCCTGTTGGGGGATATAGTGACCTCTCTTTGAGACCTTGAGTGCCTTTACTGTGGCATCTTTAGAGGCTGAGCGCACACTTGAAATCACCACCCCTTGAATAGACGACAGAATATCGTCTACTTTAACATCGCCAGTCTCAGAAGGGTGATTTTTCTGGACCTTTAAGTCTTCGGGGATCAAATCAGGTAGGAAGCCATCCACCTCAAAGCGCACTACACATTTCATGCCTGCGAAATCGTAATTGACCAACCGCTGATGGGACTCGGACCCTCGGACGCCGGCACTCCACGTAGTGTAGGCCTCCGGAAATGTATGCCCGTAACCCCGGACATCCGGAATGGTTTCATTAGGCGAATTTTCCCTTCTGATGAAGAAGACTGTGTTGCCGACTACTTCTACAAGCATCCGGAAAGATGGGGCCTTGCCACGCGCAAAGCGTAATAGATTGCCCAATGTACTCCCGCAGCCGATTATATCAACCTTGCTTAGGGGGAACTCGGGTCTTTCCGTCAGTATTGCTTGGATCATCGGTTCGAGGGGGTAGGTGGGGTATCGCGCAGCGTTAGCGTCATGATAATATTGGCCGGAATCCTCTCGCAGCTGGATATGTTCAGGAAGAGGCGTCCAAGCCGGCGGTTCACCTTGTAGAAACGTATTAATTAGTAGTCACGACAATCCTTCTGTCAAGTGGGTTTTCTCACCTGGAACGACGATATGATGATCTGCTCCAGTGATCCAATTATAGGATGTCAGATACTGGCTGTTCGTAATTTGGGCCCTTTTATCCCCTTGGCTCTCGGAATCATCAATGTCCTCAAGTTGAATTGTTGCAACGATTTCACCCAGCGGTGGAGGTAAAGTTGCGAGTACAGTACGCCTCCGAGTCCCCCCATGAGCTCTCCATCTCCCCCCATCTCTCCCATGGTACGGACCATTTTTTCTTCCCCGTTGGTCCATTATATGTAGCTGGACGATAGTTGACAAAAATGGATGAAGGAACAAATCGTGCAAAACACGAAAGATCTGGGGCGATGTGGCAGTTGAAATACAAGCAAATAGCGGGGACAGATTACACCCAGAGCCACCTTTGAGAGTTTTGCAGGCGTTTCTGGCAAACACATAATTTACTTGGAAACAGTACAAATCAGTTGAACACGTCACCTCTTCCTTTCCCAGATTGCCTGGTCCCAGTGTTCGCCTAGACTTATCTCGGTGGGTGCAGACGGGCGCAGCTACCCATGCACGTATTCCTAACCGGCTAAACCAACGAACCAACAGTTGGACAACAATATTGAAGCCTGCATTTGGACCCCTCACTTCTTGCAGTTGTTTTGTTGTCAAGTTTGAGTGAGGCGAATTCCCACAGCTGCGGTTCTGCTCGTCCCCAAGGCTTTCGAAAATACTCTCCCCTGCCTGCTCTTTGAGTTGGTTTATAGTAGGAGTTCCCTTCATTCCTTGCAACCATCAAACATTCAGTATCATACATCTTATATTTTTTCTCACAATGCCTACAAGTATTAGATCGGACCGGTTGGCCAGATATTTTGGAGCTGTCCTTCATGGAAAGCAGGAGGTCCAGGACCAAAGTAGCTTCAAGCGGCTCGTCGAAGCCATTCTGGACCAGACAGATCCCTGCGGTACAGTTGAGCGACTCATCGCGAGCCCAAGCGCTCTCAGTGCTCTTCGGATCGGATTGAGGTTCAACCTCACACCCGCCTTCATCAACGGATATACTGCGAAGTTCATCCAGTTCTTGAATCATCCGGGAGTAAAGCTCATCGGTAACGGCCTCTTTCTCGAACAACTTCTCGTTATTATTTTGGAGCCCCGCACCCTCTGGAGTTCGTTTGTGGAGGCCTTCTGTACCCAAAAGCTGGATGACGATGCAACGCACGCCCTTTGTTGGCTGACCATAGAGCTACTGTCATTGCCCACTTCGTCCGCAGTGGACATCAAGGATGATGCCCAGGCCATTGTGGATACTGGTTTGCTTTCCTCTTCGCCTTTGGTTCATTTGCGAAATCAAGCGCATAAGATTAACTACCTCCTGGATATGAAGTCCTCTGCAACTGCTCTAGCCGCCTCTGGAATCACAGCCGGCGGTCGGCATGACAACGACTTTCCTGATTTCCGCTTGACAGCCATCTTGCCCACCGCCGATGAGATGGGTTGTACCGAGAAGCCCTTCTATCGGGACGTGCACGAAATTACACGTCTATCCGGCAGCCAGCGCATTGCCGGCCATGTTGACAATCAGTTTCGTCTTTTGCGGGAGGACATGCTGTCGGGACTCCGCGATGATTTCCAAGTCGCAAAAGGCAAAAAAAGGGGGCGGCGTCCTGCCTTCCGTATATGCGCGCTCTCTCTCGCTCGTCTTTGTTGCAGCTCGAGCGATCAAAAGTATCTTCGGCCATGCACCGTAGGCGTTACCGCCGAGTCAGGGCTTGATAAACTCAAGAACCTACCGAAAGAGAAGCGAAAAGCTTTCCTCAAAGACACCCCATACTTTGTTAAGCACCGTGCGTTTGGATGCTTAATTCGAAACACTGACATCGTGGCTTTTGCTACAATTGAAAGAGACATTGATGCCCTGGTGTCTGATCCACCTATAGTCATGTTGCGAATTGTTGGCGAGGAGGCACTGAAGAAGACTCTCCTTTCTCTCAAGCTTTACAACGATGTGGACTTCTTGGTGGTCGACACACCAACATTTGCTTATGAGCCTATATTGAAATGTCTACAGGAAAGAGTAGATTTTCCTCTCACGGAAGAGCTGTTTCTTTATGAAAGAGAGCAGCTGGCGAAGGAATCAAGCCTGGCTCCTTGGAACGTGATCAATGAGTTAAAGAAAATGTACAAGCGCAATATCCAAAGCATACTCCAAACCCCCCAACCCGTCACATTGGATTCATCCCAGCTCCAGTCTCTGCTGGCAGGATTGACGCAGAGACTCAGCCTAATTCAAGGGCCCCCAGGTATGTAAAATTTGAATTTCGGGTGTCCCTAATTTCTTTTTTGACTGATGATGTGAGCTTCAGGGACCGGAAAATCATTCATAGGTGCCCTTCTTTCCAAAATCCTGCATGACCAAACCCAAGACAAGATACTGGTTATGTGCTACACCAATCACGCTTTGGATCAGTTCCTGGAAGACTTGCTAGACATCGGAATAGATCCCTCGGCCATCGTTCGATTGGGCTCTAAGTCGACACCAAGAACTATGCCGCTGGGCCTGAAGGAACAAAGCACAGCCTTCAAAAGACCTCAATCGACCTGGAATTCTATCAATACGCTCAAGGGCGAGGGATCGGAGCAAGGCGATAAGTTGGAGACATCCTTCAAAGAGTACCAGCAACTAGCAGTTGATGCTGCATCTATGCTGGATTATCTGGAGTTCGAGGAGCCCGAATACTTTGAAGCCTTGACCATCCCCGAGGACGATAATGGAATGATTTTGGCTGATAAGCGTGGAAAGGCGGCCAAGAAAGGCTATCTTTATGACCGATGGGTTAAAGGAAAAGGTCTGAAGCACTTTTCTGACCTGATCCCCGACCACTGCCACCGCCTGTGGGCACTAGAGCAACACGTGCGAAATGAGAAGGTCCAATCCTGGAAACGAGCTTTGATTGATGAGCAGGCTGCGTCTTTGGCAGTCGAAATGACATTGTTCGACAAATGCCAGAAAAAGCTGAGCGCTCTCTTGGGTGAGAAGACCCGGAAAATACTGAAAGAAAAGCGAATCATTGGCTGCACAACAACTGCTGCCGCAATGTATTCTGAAGATCTCCAACACGCGTCTCCTGGGATCGTGCTACTTGAAGAAGCAGGTGAAATTTTGGAGTCTCATGTCCTCACAGCAATATCGCCCGAAACCAAGCATTTAATCTTAATCGGAGATCATCTGCAGCTCCGACCGAAAATAAACAGCTACAATTTGAGTGCTGAAAAGGGAGACGGCTTTGACCTGAATGTATCTTTGTTTGAGAGACTTATACATGCCGGATACCCTCATACTACATTGCTGAAGCAACACCGCATGTGTCCTGAAATATCAAGACTTGTTCGAAGTCTTACGTATCCTGGATTGGAAGACGATGAGAAAACCAAGTCCCGCCCCGAGCCACGAGGTCTAAGGGACCGGGTGATATTCTTCAACCATTCCAATCTCGAAGCAAACTTCACGGAGATATCTGATCGCCGAGATGAAGGGTCGAAACAATCCAAGCAAAACATTTTCGAAGCGGAAGTTGTTTTGAAGATTGTTAAGTATCTTGGCCAGCAAGGGTATGGAACAGATAAGCTTGTCGTTCTAACGCCTTATCTTGGCCAGCTTTCACTTCTGAAGGAAACATTGAGCAGGCAGAATGATCCTGTGCTGAACGATCTTGATTCCTACGATCTTGTGCGAGCAGGGCTCTTGTCGCAGGCGGGCGCCAATCACTCCAAGCGTCAGCTGAAGCTTTCGACTATTGGTAAGGGAAATTTGTGGGAATTTGAGTTCGAAACAAGGACCTGACCATTGAAAATAGACAATTATCAAGGCGACGAGAGTGAAATTGTAATAGCATCGCTTACTCGAAGCAACAAAACAGGTGATATAGGATTCATGGCTGCTTCTGAGCGGCTGAATGTTCTGCTTTCTCGTGCTCGGAGCGTTCTGATACTGGTGGGAAATTCGGAGACCTTCGTGTCTAGCCGAAAAGGGCAAAAGGTCTGGAAACCACTCATCGACCAACTCAAAACCAATGGGCACCTATACGATGGATTTCCTGTGCGATGTGAGAATCACCCTGAAAGGAACGCAATCCTTCAGAAACCAGAGGATTTTGACCGGGAGACCCCGGACGGAGGATGCTCTGCACCGTGGTATGTCTTTCATATTAAACTTCATCGAGGATCTTCGATGCTCCCCACCCAGCTCCCAAATGAAAAATTTGACTAATACTTACTTCTTGACAGTGGTGTGAAACTCAAGTGCGGACTTCACGAATGCCAGTCCAAATGCCATCAGCTTGTGGACCACTCCAAAATGACATGCACAAGAATCGTGAAATGGACATGCCCACGCGGTCATTCTTCATTGCTCCCGTGTGCCCAGGTCAAAGGCTCATGTCGCTTCTGCACTCAAGCAGATCTTATAAAAGAACGCAAGCGTGAGCGTGACCTCAAACTGGAAACAGAACGGCAGAGAAAGCAAGCTGCCTATGCCCAACAGCTCGCGGAAGCCCAGGACGAAGCGTCCCATTTGAGGCGTCTGCGACATGATGAGCTTGATGACGCAGAGCGCACTAGGATTCTTGAACAACATTACCAAGAAATTAAGGATTTGAAGAACCCTCTTAAAATGACACAAATTGAAACCGAGGACAAGGATGCCAGGGAAGTACCGGCCAGCTCAATCCCTTCCGAAAGCGCTGCTGGAGAGGACAAGTTGAAGGGAATTCCAAGTTGCAAGCTTGAGCCCGGTGCTACATCAATGCCTCGACAAGCGATGCCGACTCAAAAGTCTTCCAAAGCTAAAAATGACTGGGAATATCGAAAGAAATATTTCAATTCCCAGAGCACGGAAATCGACACGTTGATGGACATGGTCGGACTAGAGTCAGTGAAGGAAAAGTTCTTGGCTATCGAATCAAAGGTCAACCTTTCGGTTCGGCAGAATGTCGATTTGAGTCGGGAACGATTTGGGTCTGTGCTGCTTGGGAATCCTGGGACTGGCAAGACAACGGTAGCCCGTCTCTATGCCAAATTCTTGGCAGCGGTAGGGGTCATTCCTGGCCATGAATTTATCGAAACGAGTGGGTCCAGGCTTGCAAATGAGGGTGTCTCAGGATGTGAGAAAACCATCGAAAACCTTCTCAAAGATGGCGGAGGGGCTATTTTTATCGATGAAGCCTATCAACTCGTTCAGGGTAGTAGTGTTGTGGGGAGCCAGATCGTCGACTTCCTTCTGGCTG